TGTAAAAAAAAAAAAAAAAATGAATCTTTAATGTCTCAGTGTTGTAAACTAGTCTCTCACATTGGTCTGTTTAGTGGGTATTGTAATGGTGCATCAATGGAGAGCTGAACTTCAAGGCACTTGAGCGGAAGCATGACGCAAGCCCTGCTCTTCGGCCTCTCTCTGAATGTTCTGTTGGTAGAGGAGCACTCTTATTAGGCGGTCAGCTGAGATGAATGCCCTCTCCAACTCTTATTTTCTGTCTGTTCCTCTGTATAGCGAGGGGCTCTCTTTGAGAACTCCATCCCCTCGCCTCTTTAGTGATGGTTTTGTAAGACTATAAAAGCAGAGACGAATGGTTTTGTCTCTGAAACGCTCTCTCTCCGCTTTCCTCTGCTCTGTTCCCTCTCTGTAAAGCCCCCACACATAGGCACAAGTGTGCATTTCCTGAGTGCATCTATAGCAACCCACGTGCTCTTCTGGAACTTTCTTCCTCTCAATCAAGAGGTTGAGGGGCCGTACAGGGATGAAAGCTTTTGCTCCCTCTGAGTGCCCGACACTGGACGAGTGGATGGGCTGTCAGTCGTTTCTGTCCCTTTTCATGTTTTCAACAGATCTGCTGGAGAACGAGACTGCTTTTCATTTACATCTGGTATTTCTTATTGACAATGAAATCAGGTAAGGCTTTAGAGATCTGTGATCTTGGTTTCAAGAGAGGCTTGATCTTTCTATGAGCGGCTTTCATCTGATTGGTGCGTGAGAGAGAACATCCGTTTTCAATACTTTTGCCCTGTTTAAACTCAAGTTCTGTTTCAAAAACAAGTGAGCTGCTTCTGTAGGCAGCATTTGAAGGTGCGTTCCAGAAATAGCTGTTTTCAAAAAAAATACCTTGATTGTAGACAAATTCAATTTTTTTTATTTAGCCATTTAAATTAAGTAAAAATATTTTAAATATCTTAAAATAATAACAAACTGATTATCTAAAATTTGTGTCCTAGAATATATTTATATTTAGTTTCCCCTTTGGTCAAGAAACATTTGCTATTATCAATGTTAAGAACTGCTGCTTAATATATATATATTTTCCCCAGGATTTTTTGATGAATAGAAAGTTCAAAGAAACAGCAATTGTTTAAAAAAAAAAAAGATTTTTATTTTTGTCTTTTTGTACTGTCACTTTTGATCAGTTTAATGCATTTTAAAAGTATCAATAAAATATAATATAAAAGTATTAATATCTTACAAAACAATAAAACATCTTACTGATCCCAAATGGTAGAGTGTTCCAAATCAGTCACTTCGGGATCCACCAAGGCAAGACACTTCACTAGGATTTGGGACAGAGCTTTGCTTTCTAATTGACAAACATCTTATTCTGGAACTAATCCCATCTTGATCGTGCAATGAAGTAGACTACTTTTTTCTAGCCTCACTTGTAACATTTTGTGGGTTTGAAGCTTTTGCTCCTCATACCATGTTTCTGAGCTTACAGTTTCAGCTTTTACGGATATGGATCATCGGCAATGTGCTTCTGATGTGTGCTACCTTCCCTTGTAGCCGGTGGAGATGGACGATGCTTCGACTGGCAAGGTTCTGGCACGGGGCTGAAAGACTGTAATAATGGCCTAATCACCTGAGCATTGCCAGGCTTTGGCTTTATCTGGCGTGGATGCGAAATTCCCCTCGGTGCTGTGATTACAGCGTTTGATCTGGGTAATAATGTCTTTACTGTGGCCCTGTCTGAGCCCTGCGGGCACTGCTCTGCACTAATCCACACAGTGCATTCTAGTGGAATCGCGTTACACAAAGACCACCAGAGTTCTCTGCAGAGGAGTGGGAAAAGGTGGGGGGGGACGATGACTGTGGTTGCCATGGAGATAGATCCCTTTTCTCTGCTTTTCAAACTCCCCTCCTCCTTTTCTATCCCCTCTGCCACCTCCTCGCTCTTTCCCCCCTCTCCATCCCTCTTCTCTCTGGCTCTCTCTCCCGGACAGATAAGCATGAGGACAGGTTTCTGTGTTTACCCGACACAGTAGGACCCTCCAATCCCCGCGCAGGGCTGACCCTGATAACACTGCCTGTTACAGCAGCAAACCACTGACAGTTGATAAGCTGCGGTGCAGCCATCTCCCTTCCCCTTTCTCCCTGCCCGGGATAACCACAGCTACGCACACGGTGTTCATTTGGATTAGTGTGGATTCAATTGGATTATTCCTCCTGTGTTCAGAATGTTGATGTCCGAAAGCACGGTGCTGTTGCTTCCTTTTTTAGAAGGCTGGAAAGATGAGCTAAATGTCATAGTCAAGAATCTGTGGTGAAGTTATCGGCCGACTTTTCCTTGTTCCTTCTCCTGGATTGTGTGGTCTAGAAAAGCGGCATTCCGCAGACACTTAGATGTTTTTGTAAATAGCCTGCATTCCTGAATGTTTATCTCTTTAACTGCTGGCCTGTGACTAGTCATATGATGGTCCTTTCCGTCCTCTTGACATGGGCTAATATGCCTTGATCAGAGTCACACAGTGTGGCTGTAAAAGATGAGGTATTTTGAGGCTAGGCTGTCAGACTTGGGCTTTGTATTCCTTCCAAGTAAGCATTGAATTCCAGGCAGTAATTAGATGTTGTCTGTAATGAGATTTGTGTGATACATTTGCTGTGAGAAGGTACCGGCACTCACTCACTTTGATGTCGAGATTAAGACACGCACAAGAGTGCTTTTATGGTGCATATTAAGCCTACACGGTAGTTACATTCTCACACAAATGTTGAGGTTTTAGGCCCAGCTGGGGGTTAAAAAAAGAACATGCTTATTGAAGCGAGAAACCGATTATTTCATGAAACAAATGCTCTGTTTTTATTTTAAAAACCCCTAGCTTCCTGGTGTACGTGCAGACTGATTTGATTTGTGAAATAATTGCTTACATTTATCTAGACGAGTATACAAAATAAATGTGATTTGATGAACTATAGTCTTGCAATTCTATTAATCATAGGCTATACTGCTTCTTAGTCTTTACACACTTTTGAGGAATTTTCTGCCTTATTTGTTCTTTAGTGGATTTGTTTTTTTTGTTTTGTTTTTTCATTTTTTGGTGGTAAATTATTGTCAGACATTATAAAATGGCATTGCTAGCAACCATAAATAGTTCAAACATTCAAACATAACATTTTCCAGATTGTTTATTTAGGCTTATTCCATTTTTAGCACAAAGTTCATGGACTCTGAAC